AGAGAGAGACGGCATACAAGGTGCATACACAGAAGCTGTCACAGCCAACATAACATAAAAATTTGAAATCATTTTACTACGCTACATAAAACAGCCCAGGCTGAATGAGATGTACTTTGGAGTCAAGTTCACTGTTTTAGTTTTGTTTCACACTCTCCACTCTCCATGCACCTTGGCCTTAATATCTCTGGCAGGCTGAGTTTGACATGAAGCCCTTTACTTATCCTCATGAAAGTCTGCAAGCAGCTTCACTTCCTGAGATGGCTAAGGAAGTGAGAGATGAGGGGACAACACTTTTGGAGATCTCCACACTAACAATATTACAGTACATATGGTGGAGCCAGTAAAGGAGACCCATACAGAGAATTGTGAGGTCAGCTCAAAAGATCGTAGCAATCTAACTACACTATTTGGACAAAAGTATAGAGACACAATTCCTAATCACTGATTTCAAGTGTTTTATTCAGTCCCACGCCACAGGTATATAAAATCAAGCAACTAGCCATGCAGTCAGGTTTACAAATATTTGTGAAAGAATAGGTCGATCTGAAGAGCTCGGTGAATTCAAGCGTGGTACTGTCATAGGGTGCAACCTTTGCAATATGCCAATTTATAACATTTCTTCCCTGGGCAACTGTAAGTGGTGGAAGACCACGTAAAGTAACAGAGAGGGTTACAGAGCAGCATAGCGTTCTGCCAACAGAATCACAATTAAACCAGGATTTATTTTATATGCAATTTTGTTTAAAAATATAGAGTGGTCTCTTAATTTTTTGCTTAGCCCGACAACTTGTCAGATTTAAGGTACCTCGATCAGTTTAAATGGTCTTTATCTTCTTTCACTTGCAATTAGCCCAAACTACCGTAAATCCGACAAATAATCCGACTAATCATAAAATCCAATTCTAGCCTGGTTAATTGCCATTGTTAGCAATATCACTTGATAACACATTACGCGCGGTGCTTTACGTATAAAACTCCGTAGCAACACGTCCACAGATAAGTTGGACGGTATAGTGTTTGCGACCGATTTAATGAGCCACAAATGAGAAGTAGTGCTTAAACAGTATAAAACTACAACTTTCCCTTCTGTTGATAAAGGGCGCAGCCATCTTGGATTCTGAACTTGGGATCTTCTGTGCTGCTCCAAGATATTTCTCGGATCTCCGAGAAACGGGAGCGCGCATGTCGTCACCTCTGGCTTCAAAACTCGGAATCTGACTTGGAATACGAGTTCCGAGGGCAAATGGAACGCACCAAAAGTGCCCGAAATGGGTTGACAGAGACATTTCAGGGATTTTAAGTCATTCTACGCTGCAGATGGGTTAATTGCGTAAATTTTTTTAATCAGATTAATCATGATGATGGATTAATCCACGTTAACCCGTTAATTTTGACACCCCTAATATATATATTTATATATATTGTAAAGGTGGGTTGCTGAGCCATGTTGTTCTCAATAATCATACAAGACAGGTTTGGCTATTAACTACAAGGTGGCTTTTATTGCATGCGTATCAATCATACTGACAACACACTCACACAGCCCACAGTGCCTGTCACCTGCTTACTCCTAACACACACGGTGGGCATACACACACACACACACACACTATGACACCAATTAACATTTAACACTATACATGACATTACAATACAGCACAGTGACATATAAAGTATGGTGATTATGCAGCACTATTTACAAAGTTGGCACCAGTCCAACCCACTGCACTGCCTGACAGTACCTCCAGCATTACATTGCCCCCCTCCTAGGCAACCACACGCTGTACACCACTTTGGAGATTGACTCCAGGACCTCCCCAGGACCCCTCCAATGGCTGTTGAGCTTGGGTGACTAACCCTTCTTCTGGATGAGGCAGGACACCCAAACAGGGTCCCTGAGCTGCAAGGCTTGTTCCCGACAGCAGGTGTCATCTGTCTGGCCGTGGCCACATCCAGATGATCCCTGGTCAGCTCTTGCATGGTGCGTACATGCTCCTGGAGCTGGAGCAGGTAGTCCAGTCCCGGCATCGCTGCCAGCTCCCACTCAGGGTCAAGCCAAAGACCAGCTCCATTGGGGTCCACAGCTCACGACCAAACATGAGGGCGGTGGGGGTGCAGCCAGTATTTTCCTGTACCATGGTACAGCACAGTGCCCAGTCCCTCATTACTAGTGTCAGTGTCCAGAATTAAAGGAAGGCATGGATCTGGGTAAATTAGTATGGGGGCATCGGCGAGCGCTGGCTAAAACTGATTAAAAGCACAGACATCTATCCAAGCAAAACCATTTCCCTTCTCTGTAACATTAATACACAAGTCTTCTAAAGAGGCCTTAATAATATGAAATTAACAATGCAAAAATGATTGAACTCACTATTCTACATTAATAAATCAGATTTACTGATGCAAATACAGTAGTTCATCTCAAATTGTATCCGGTACCCACTTTTTAATTGGGTCAGGTGCATCATCTACTTTTGTACTGGTGCACCGATGTGAACCGGTGAATTTTATCATCCCTAGTGTAGATTGTGTCAGTCAATATAGACCAGGGGTGGGGAATCTTATCCAGAAATGGCTGCTGTGTATGCGGTTTTCGCTGCAACTCCCAAATTAAATCACTAATTAGAGGACTTATTGGATATTATATAATAACAAGCAGTTCATACTTTTTATTGATCCCCATGGGGAAATTCTCTTTACACCTCCCCTCACTTGTTCTCTGTAGGTGAGAGCAAGCTGGCTGTTAAGGGCAGCCACCCATAGCAGCGCCCAGGGAGCTGAGGGTTAAGGGTCTTGGGCAAGGACCCGCAGATGTGCTGAGGCTGGGCTTGACCCGGTGACCTTCTGACAGGCATAGAGGCTGAGCCACATACTGCCCCCAAGAGTCCTCACACCTGGCTTTGAACAGCTGACCTAAATGTTATCCCAAAAACCTGCATACATACTGACCCTTTGCGGATAAGATTGACCACCCCTGGTATAGACCATACTATAGATCACAGTCTCATCAATTAGCATGATCCAGTTCCTTGATATTGAGTGCACAATCGAATACTGAGCACTAGTTGAAAGTCTGTTATGGAGATTCTTTGATTTAACTTTTTTTCTACTTTTCACAGCATGCCGTACCACTGTTTTCCACCAGAGGGAAGAGTTTTACGTGTCAATAACAGAAACGATAATTATATTAATTCTCTTAGATATAGGATTTCAGAAAAAAACTCAGTAGCGCAGCCTCACTATTATTTATTATAGTTTAGCAACTCTAACAAAAGCCTGGGGAAAGTTGAGATTAAAGTGAAATAAAGATTAAACATAGAATGATTAGCCTATATTTGCATTAAGATTTGGTTTCCTTAATTCCGTGCATATACTGTGCATTTACCTGAAAGTTCACCTTTTAATACACTAAGGGAAACACAAAAAAGAAATCGGCTCAAAACCATTATGTGTGAGATGGTAACCCCAGATTTAAAGATGCATATTTTTGGCGCATTCCTTTAATTTTAGTTACTTTATTCATTTTTAATGGATAGACACCTGAATTAAGTTACGAATAATGACGTCATAATTTTTATTTCAATTTTTTTAATTCGTACGAAATTATTAGCTCTGTGGGGAAGAGCTTTATTTAAAAAAAAAAAACAAAAAAAAACGCTGTTGGTATTGTTGGGGTGTTTTGGGGAATTAAACAGTTAGTCTTACCTTATGTTTATCGTTGTAGATCTCAATACATATGTGGAAAGTCCCAAATTCACCCAGGTAACTAAAGCCCCCAGGGGGGAAGGCGGGGGGGTTGAGTAATACAGCTGCACAGAGAGTTAAGTGGATGTGTACAGTGAGTGATAAATTACAGTATGACCTCAGATCTCCGCTGATAACACTGCAGAAACATCTCCTCCTTGTCCGTGTGCTTGGTCGGTGCCCCGCATCCCTAACACAGAGACATGCCCTGCAGCAGACGGATTTTGGAGTCGCCTGTACATCAAGTATGAGGCATGAGTGATGATAAGATCAGTTGACCTATAAACACAGGCAAAGACGTAAGAAAAACTTGGATGCCGCTATGCCAAAAAAGGAAACGAGGGTGTGAGGGTCTCCCAGCTGAGAGACTGTTATGCCACAGAAATACTTGATTGTCACAAACGTAGACGAACTTATCTGATGACGCAGATATCTGACTGAGTGCCCCAATCTGTACAAAGAGAAGTCACCCAAAAGAAATGAGAACAATCAAACTGTAACTCTAGGTGCAGTGACACTCGTCGAACAGTAGGTGATGATAGGAGAGAATGAGTTGCGGGGCGTGTTTTATGTAAACTTTAACCAGATTAAGTGGTAGCGTCTACCGAAAACCAATAAAGTACGTTTTGCAACAAATGGCTGGGCATGCTATTGACATTTGCTCCTGCGCAAATCATCAGGGGGAGAATCAAGGTATTATATCAACGTTTCGTCATATTAGTAAATATGTAGCTCGATTCGACACGCAAGGCCAATTTAAAATGTCCAAGTATTGTAACGCTTTGACATTTACAAATTATGTGTGAAGAAATTCAGGGTTGCCAACTGTCACGCATCTGGCTTGACAGTCACGCTTTCAGACTCATGCAAGAAATCTTACAGCAAAACTATATTATTGCATTATGAACCTAAAATTAGCTACATTAAAAGTGCTGGGGCAGTTTGCAAACCCTACAGGTATTAAACTGTTGCGTACACATATGGGCGTGTGCAGACTTGTCTCGAATTGAATATCTCACTCCAGCCAGCTGACCGAAGTTGGCGAACATGGAAATTACGTGTGTGAAGAAGTGCAGGAAGCAGTACACTACTACAAGCATTATTAATTCAGCAAAGTTTGGTAATTTGGCAATTCATGTTGACTAAAACTGTGTATTGGGTTCAGTTGCAGATGCACATATACTTTGTCTGCCATACAACCAGAGAGAAAAAAATGAATCATGAACTATTATTCAATATGACTGACCAGCAGAATAGTTTCCGCTTTCTCTCAACTTAAAAAATCCAACAAATAAGGATCGTTGTGGGAATTAGGATGACATGCTTTGTTCCCGATAAGAGCTCAAGGGGGATCCCCGTATTTCAACAGCCTTCTTACTTCAGACTTCGACTTGTAGAACAGAGATTAACCTATTTCACAACACAAAACAAACCATATCCACAAATACCCGATATAATGCAGTTTAAGAGGCATATAGGCTAGCGCAGATCCCATATGTAACACTGGTTTTCACACATTTTCGTTCGATTCGCTGTGAAAAGTTATTGAGAAGAACATGAAATCGAGACGACTTTTTAAAAAGTGTAATCTTATTATCACAATCTGTTATTAAAGGTGTAACGTAGACGCTGCACTACCAATACGTCAGCATACGACGCTTGAGGGAAAACCCCAGCGCAAACGTCGTCTGTGTGTGAATGAAGAGAGAGAGAGAGAGAGAGAGAGAGAGAGAGAGAGACTGTTTTAGACGTTTTCATTACACAGTATGAAAAAGCGATGGTCATTATCTCACACTTGCTGATGTGTATGGACTGATTATACCTGCTTGCAGTCACCGCATATCTGAAACGGCTAAATCGCAACGCATGCCAAAACGCTATTTTGATAGTATTCTGGGTTGAGTGAGAACTATGGAAGATTGTCGTTTAGTCTATTCTGCCTGCTTAAGGTTCAACTGATCTAAATTTTTATTTTGTATGTCTTTAACGGCTGGGGATTTTATTTGCAGTGCTAATGTGCATATTGCATTGGATGACACTATTTGCGATATTTACAGGTAGGTCAAGGCAATATAGGCCTAACTACAATTTTTTACTAATTATTGATGGGTGAATAAGTGGTAGAAAACAATTGTTGTTGAAAATAACTACTGGTTGCACTTAAACGGAATTGTGCTTAGTATATCTGAAAGTATGCTTTCCACGACTATTATGTATATTTCAGGTATGTTTGCCCTTCGAGTCACCCCCATGTCTATTATAAAACGATCGATGCTCAGCAAGCTCATTTGCTATTTATATTGTAATTTACTCTTGCTTTTATTTAACAGTCGGGTGATAACATCTCTGAAACGGCGACTATGACTATGAATGGGTCGCAGCCTCAGGTTATGCCAGCACCGCTGGACCTCACAATTAAAGACAGAGATCGCAAATGCAGGCTGGAAGATGGCCTCTCTGGTCCAGAAGGTGACGCTGCACGCCATACAGACTCAAAACAAACTGTGAAAATTAATCAAACAGACTCAAAGCCACTGGCAAGAGGGCATGCCTGTAATGATGCGGACTACTCAAGCTCAGTGCCTGGCGAGTCTCCTTGTACTGAACAAACAAGGGTAGTCATTTATCATTTTGTAAATAGACATACTCTTCCTGATCCCCCAAGTGATTCCTGCAGATCCTCCAGTGGGGAGTATTCAGTGAAATCTGAAGCTGAACCTTCGGAGGTCAATGCAATGGACAATGACCCCAAGTCCTCGAATGCCCAGCCTGTGTCCAGACTTCCCTTACGAAAACGGCCGTTTCCCGCTCCCGATAATAAAAAGGAAGCCCCGGCAAAGCGGACGAAGATCATTGCGAACCTACAGAACGACCCGCAACAAGGATCACCGCCTCCAAGCGCCGCCTCCAGTGAGCATCCGGAAAAGATGCCTAGTGACTCTCGTCACACATTAGCAGACCTTGCACCCCCCTGTAAGTGAAGGAAGAAATCGCAAAATGCTCTGATTGATGTAACTGCTGTATAACCTAAAAATAAACTGTAGGCCTATTATAATATTATTTTTGCATATATGCAGGCGCGTGGGGCAGAACCAATATATGTGAAAATGCATAAGAATAATATAAGAAGTTCAGCCTGGGGGGTGAAAAATGACACCATTTTAATAATGGGAGAAGGATTCAGATGCTGCATGGCTTTGTGAAGTCTTCAGGCCCTGGTCTGTTGGAAATTGCACAGTCAGGGATAGTCCTGACTTTTGAACTTTTTAGTCATTGTGTAATGGTCCAAACATTGTATTACAAGCATGGGAATAAAGTCTGAGTTCAGTGGTTTATGCATGTTGCAACATGTTTAACGGTAAAAGTCCAGTTAGAGTCCAGTTACCGTTATTTTATTTTCGCTTCCTATAAAATTGTTATAAAACAACACGCCAGAGAGTGAAGGTTGCCTAAAATCATGCTCACTGCACTGTACGATTCGGCATGGGCGTAAAATACAGGGGAGATGGGGAGGTTGTAATCCCCCAACCCCCCCCCCCCCCCCAATAATCAAACCGGGCTAATACAACCCCAATAATCATGTCTCCCCCTAAATGGTAGGAAACCTCAACCCCCCCCAATGTTCAAACCAAAGTTACATCCTTGCGATTTGGTAAGGTCCATCATGCCCATCCAAGGCATTGGATAGTTTGTCTTATATGAACTCCATTTTAGTGAATAAGTGCACTTTTGTTTCACACTGAATAAATGATGACTTTATGGACTTTTACCTGATGCTTTTCCCCATATTCCATCTTCAGGTAGGCCTAATAGAATGGACTGTTGCCAGCTTGTCAATCTGCCCTTGGCCCCATTTCCTCTTCTTCCAGTGGAACGGATGGAGCCGTCACAGGTTACTATGGCGACCTGGCAGGACGATGATGGGGACACGTAAGTTGGTGATTCTCTTCCATGTACTGCCTTTATAACTTTTTATATACTTTATGTTTAATTCTGCTTTTGCTATCCAAAAAGGTAGAGATTTGAAGCACTGTAGAGCCACCATGATAACTTTAGCAATACATCATTTAGTAATTCATATAGAAAATCATAAACTTACTATACTTAATTTACCCCTTAAACTTCAGCTGAATCCACCCCCTTACCATTCAAAACATTGATTTAATTAGAACATCAAGTAAACTTGAATTTTAATACCTTTACTTATACCTGTCACATGATCCTGGTCACTATAAAGATGGATGTCTCATGGGGAGCAGCAACATGAGAATATGGGGTATCCAAGAGTATAGTCAACAAGAGAGCATAAAAAATACCTTAAAAAATAATGTATGTGACAGAATAAGGGATATTAAATAGCATGCTGGAGTAAAAACATTAGACTGTATCCCTTTGTTAAAATACCAGACTTCATAAACTGCTAAAACCACTAGCTGTTTTGTCCAAAAGTGGCATCTTGTATTTCTGGATATAATTTGGATGTTCAATTAAACTGTGAAAGAATCCAGCAAAATGTGCAAATTAATATGTTGGGTGGCACTAGGCCAGCATAACATTTTGGCTATTCATTAGGAGCCTGTTTCATTAGGAGCCTGTTCCATTTAATTTGGTCTCTTTGTTCAATGCTGACCTTTAACTCCATAGCAGATAGCTGTGGTTTCAAGGCCCTTGCTCATTTGTTTTGAAACTTAGGGACACTGGACTCACACGTCCCTCCTGAAGGCAAAAACAAGACAGTGGGTTCTTTTTAAGGTCCTATAGTAAGGCATTGTGATTGACATGTGTGTGTGTGTGTGTGTGTGTGTGTGGGGGGGGTGGCTGATGTTTCCGTTTCTTTGTTGTTGTTTCACTTTTTTTTCTGTTTTGTTGTTCTCTTCATGAGTAAACAATTCTCTGGGTATGCATGTATTCATGTATGCACTATGTATTTGGAAACTGAAAAGATTCAACTAACAGGGTACACATTTCAAACTTATTTACTGGTTTACCTATATCTGACTGCAGCATGGTAATGTCCATTTTTATGTTCCTGTTAGGTCAGCAGCCATACACTAAACAATCTGGGGTTACCAGCCCTTGTGTCTCCTTCATCACCTCTGTCTTCTTGTATGTGATTTTCCTTAGAGAAGAAAGATAGAAATTTCCTCACTGTATTCTACCCAAGATCTTCCACATACAAATTCTTCAGGAGTCCGCATAAATTTAAGTGTTTAAACAGTTGCATGAAGTCATCGTCAAGTTTGTTGGTCTCTGTGTGGTTACGAGTATCAGAATTATGCATAATTTTTGCATAATTACAATCAAAAACTACGCAGGTGTGCTTTTAATTACAGTACAAATTTCTGTTTGTTTCATGATGATTGCACAGACCTAAGAGAGCTTAGCTATTAGCAGTTAGCATTAATAGATGCTTCCTAAAGCTCTGAATACTTAATTTGTTGGGCTGTAAGTTGGTGAAGGTTCAAAATAACAGTTCTAGAGACTGAAAACAGGGTAGTAACTAGCCATCTTGGATGACTAAATTTGTTATAATTGCAATTCCACATCTGATTTATTTATATAAATGCATTCTGGTTGCACTCTCATGGTAAAGCCATCATGCGCATAAATCCAGGATAGAGTCTACAAAGGCTGTGTGGTTCCTTGTCTCTAAGACACCCATGGTTATTTGCAAATGTAACTTAAAAAAATTCCTCTACAGCTGATGATAATGAGAGAGACTAGGGACTTTTATATTAAAAACTGATAAATTAAATCTCCAGTTACCACTGGGACGACCCAAAATGCGGTTACAGTGCAGAACAGCGAGATGTCCATCGCCCTGCACCCCACCTCTTTCCGGCACTTCCTGTGTGTTGGCTCTTACGTCAAAGGAACGCCGGCAATGCCGGCCCGTCTCGTTCTCAGCGCCTCTAGCCCCTCAGTTTCGGGAAAACCTGCGAGAAAGCGCAATCGGAAGTGGGCCGGTGGTTTCCTCAGGTGCTTCTGTCTTCTCATTCTCTCCCTCTGCCTGAAGAACCGTCTTAGATGAATGAACTCATAAACCCAAACATCCGCCGCTCACTTCCTGGCTGAGCACTCCTCCAGCGAGCCTCTCGCCTGCCTCGGCATCCTCCCTTTGCTGCTTTCCTGCCAAGTCGGGTGGCACAGTAATCACTGCAGACAGACAGGTGAGCGCCAGAGGTGGGGGGGAGTGACACTGTCACATGTCCTGTTGACTGGCTGACTTCTGGTAAGCTCTCTTTAGGCTCTCATTACCATAGCAAGCAGGACTGTTTACATCATCTTCTCGCTGCTCAGCTCTGACCACATGGGATATCAGCCCCCTGCCCCAAAACAAAATATGCCATTTAATGGCATCATTGCGGTCTCCTCTCTCTCTCTCTCCTTCTCTCTCTGTAAACCTTGTCTGTGTCTACACCCGGGTTTCTGCGTCAGTCAGCTGAGGTTATCTGGGGCTGTGGTCAGCCCCTCTTCCAGGAACAGAAGAGCTAGGTGCAGTTTCGTCTTGAGAGCTGCAGCCGACAAAAAGGCAGCACTTACTTGGAGCACTATCAGATTTAACTTTGCTGTGTCTCGATCCGAGTTAAAGAATGTGTTTGTGGTGACATTAGGTGTACTCACCGGATATTTTCATGCTTCCATAACGAAGGTGAGCATCCTCTGTGTTCACCAGGTTTACTGCACACAGCAATTGTGTGGCACTTTTTTGTCACAGACTCTTATGCTCCCTAATTCATTTGATATGACTCTTTTGCTGTATTTAATTGGCAATTCCTGGTTCACCTTTACCCCAGAGTTTAAAATGAAATTGGGTTTCCGGGCAAATTAATATAGTAAATGATTACCAGGAATGGCTTCATATACTTCGTATGAAGGGTATAACCTCACTGTAAAGGCAGCTGTGAGAAAAAAATGTGAACAAGCACCACTTCTCTTTTTCAGAACCAACTTCTGACTTCATCCATTATTGTCATAACGATGTCACAGGTGCTCAGTGTTGGGGGGGAGGTCTTTCATTTCTATTTTTCATTTTTGTTAAGTCATTGTGTATATCTCCCATCTCCTATGCATTTTATATTTGTTTTATGCTTCATATTTATGTGCATACAGAAAGTGTCTGTTTAGAGCACTGAAAGCTTCCTACCCTATTTACAGCAAGCAAATTTTGGCTCAAAACAGCAATACAATCTCAATCCCGGTGTGAGCTATCAGCAGGACTGCATTTGCCTTTTTATTTAGGAGAAAGATCTGCTCTTTCACCTGGAATTACATTTACCATTCAAATATTTATGTGAATCTTGTCGTCTTTCTTTATAATAATTTTTTTGATTACTTCTGTTTGCATCGCTACTTTTGGTCTCTCATTCCCGAGTTTTCATTAAAAAAAAGAACAGTGAAAGACACTGAAACAACCCGCAGAAAGCCCCTGTAGAAGCAGTAATAATTATTATTCAAAAGAACCATCCGTTGTTCCTGAACACAGGAAATGACATCAAACAGGCTTTGCTGTTACTGGAAGAAGGTTAAGAAAAAAACTATTATGGTTTCTCAAGGGCCCCTCTTTTATCCCCTGTTCCTGCTAGAGCTGTGAAAAAAGAACTGTGAGATGCAGTGATAATGATTTCCCTTTACCATGTACTTTTTGCAAACATGATTGGTGAGTCATGTGGGAGTCAATCAGCTGAATAGGTCAGTCAGAGTCTTAATCAATCATTGTAAACCTTACACGTCAGATGGTGAGTCAGTGAGTTATCCGGTTTTAGGGGCCGCTCTAGCGGCATTCAATCTAATGAGCTTAAGTGCCTGTCTCTTGTGGACACGTGACATTTCCATGAAGGCAGCCTTTAACAGTGTGCCACACGCTGTCATTCTAGGGCTCTGCACATTGCAGTGGTGCAGGGGCTGGAAAGCCTGGTCCGGAGGCTGATTCAGATCCTGCTGCAGGCTGGCAAGGGCCTGGACATCTACAACAACCTGCTTCAGGTGAGGGGCAGGTCGGCAGCTCGGACTCGTGCAGCAGAGGATGCCAAGGTGACGCAGGGACAGCAACAGAGTGGCGGGGGGTGGCGTGATGTGAAGTTCACAGATGGGAGGGGGAATCTGTAGATGGTTAAAACGACTTTGTGATGACATCCTGAACATTCAGTCATTTTCAACATGCTTATCCTAGTATGTATACACACTCAGGCACAGTTTGGGGACGTCAGCAAGACATATATACACAGACACACGCAGTTTGGCGACGTCAGCAGGGCATATAGACACACTCAGGTGCAGTTTGGGGACGTCAGCAGGACATATATACACACACACACGCAGTTTGGCGACGTCAGCAGGGCATATACACTCACCTAAAGGATTATTAGGAACACCATAATAATACGGTGTTTGACCCCCTTTCGCCTTCAGAACTGCCTTAATTCTACGTGGCATTGATTCAACAAGGTGCTGAAAGCATTCTTTAGAAAT